GTCCCAGAGTCTCAACTGGTCTTGGTCTCAGGCTGTCCCAGTAGGTCGAGTCCTAGGGTCCATATGCCAGAGCGTTATAGGCTGGTAGGAGTCGGGAACCGAAATGTTGCAGGGCAGTAAAAGTCCGCCGGAACTGCCAGAGGAAGTAAGTCCCAAAGTCCAATTTTGCAGCAGCGTCCCAAGAAAGTCCGGAGACTTCCCGAACACCCATGTTTTTGGCAAAAGAGGCCGAGGGCGACCTGTGCTGGTCCAAAGCAGTCGCATACAGTCAACTCAGTGTAGTCCTTCGTACGTCGTACGGGCGCATGGGGGTCTCTGTACGGGTCGTCCAGACGGCCGTACGGCCGCCCCCGTAAGAAGGTGCCAGGTGCTGGTGGGGGGGTACACTGGGGGGGGTTGCCGCCTTGTGGGGGTGGCGGGGGTGGCGAGGGTGGCAGGGACCCCTTGTATTTTGTTAAAAAGAATTTGAATCTTTTTTTGGGTTTAAAAATGAAAAAAAAAAGAAGATTGATTGATTGATTGATTGATTGATTGACCGATTGATTGACTGATTGATTGATGATTGATTCTTTGATTGATTGCTTGATTGCTTGATTGCTTGATTGATTGACTGATTGATTAGATTTGATTGATTGATTGATTGATTGATTGATTGATTGATTGATTGATTGATTGGGGAAAAAAAAAGCTTTGATGCGTGCAGCCGTGTGTATGCCCGCCCGCTCTCTAGGTCTCTGTCTCTCTCTCGGCATGCGCACGCGCACACGCGCACACGTGTGTGTGTGTGTGTGTGTGTGTGTGTGTGTGTGTGTGTGTGATGATGTGTGTGAACACATATTGCGGACGCTTCAACACGTAACAGCTACGCACTCCAATCCATCGTCACTGGTCAGGGTAAAGCTCCCAAGATGTATCCTCTAGCCATACTCGTACCCTTTGTGCATAACATGTCATTCCATGACATTACCCACATTTCCTAGTTCAACCACAACGTAGAAAAAGAAGAAAAAGAGGAAAAAGAAGAAGAAGAAGAAGACGAAAACGAAGAAAGAAGGAAGAAGAGGGAAGAACGGAGAGAGAGAGAGAGAGAGAGAGAGAGAGAGAGAGAGAGAGAGAGAGAGAGAGAGAGAGAGAGAGAGAGAAAGAAAGAGAAAGAGAGAAGGAGAGAGGAAATACATACACGGAGCTTGTGCATAAGCATAATGAAGCGAGACAGGAAAAAAGATTCTCAGAACTGAAAATCATCCATTTTCCATCAATCAGCACAGACATCCTCTCTCGATTGTTCAGACCACACCTTTCACTGGTCCTTACTAGCATAGATTATGCCGCTAATGTTAAACTCCTCATGGGAAACATCCGAATGACCGAGCGAACGAACGACCAAACGGACGGACGTACGAACATACGAACGAACGGACGAATGAACGGCCGATCAAATGAACGTACAATAACATTCGAAAAAATCAATAATACTAGAAAAAAACAAGGAAAATCACGAAAACCAGGGAGGAGGATCAGAGACCAAATTAGGGCATGGTTCTGAAAAACACGGTGCCTTTATTCGAATAACCCCTGACGATCATCTAAACACGAACTTGTGCCTCGATAAGGACATGACCCGATCTGAGCAAAGGATACCCAAAAAACATACTTCCCCCAAATATACCCTGCCATGTATGCTCTCGAATCAGTTATTTCGACTCACCCTCCGCCAAATCAAAGAATAGTGCAAAACAAGAAAAATGGCCAAGACATACACATACAGAGTGCCCCACTCATCAACCCTCGCTCATCTGTACAACAACCTTCGATATGAATATACAATTCATATGTTCACCCGCCTCGACCCGCTGATGATCCCCAGACACCCTACAACCCATCCTTCCTCAGAGAACCCAATCATACCCTCTTGAATGGTTCCTCCCTCGAAACCAAACCTCCTGCATAATGTCTGAATCAACCCTGCCCAATTCTTCTACAGTAGACTCAAGCGAAATTCATCATCACCCTCCCTATTCTCACAACAGCTGTACACCCCTTCACTGGTGCCTATCTTCTGGGCCAACAACAGTTCACAGAGACTTCCAGTCAAGACTTGTCGTCAGGCTCCTTACGCAGTCCCGCTCGTCCATATGTTCTACCCAACCAACACACATCCAGTCAACCAACATACCACCCTAGAAAGAGACGAGAGGGATTACCCAATCCATTTGCATGCAACCAATCTCACCCACTCTCAAAGGATATATACCACACAACATCACAAAACATGTAAGAACCACAATCAGGGGAAGTAAGTGTTACAATTCATTAAACATGAATGTAGAAACAAATCGAACGCTGGTTTCATACATTCTTGGTTCTCATCTGCACATATCAATCAATCACCATTATACCACATAAAGGGTAGGTGAACTGAGGTAAGCAACGCATTCGGCTGAGGTAGTGGCAAGCTCCCTAAAACGTTTTTCGCTAGCCTTGCCACAGGCTATATCATCAGAGGAATCCTTTGCAGGACAACACAAAATGCATTGCCAGGGTACATGCGTGAGAACCATCAACAGCGTTAGTCATCCAGTCAAAGTCAATAGGGATAACAAGTAACAAGAACTGGGAATATACTGAGAGGAGGATTGGAAGCAAGAGGGAAAAAGATGAAGAGAAAGGAAGAAAAAGGACAGACAGAAGGAAAAGAAGAGAGAAGGGAGAATTCCAGGACTTCATAGACGCAGGATCGTTAAGAGACCAGGTTCCCAAAGGAAGTAAGATGACTTTCACCTCTGGTCGTGCTTTTCCCAAATCGCGGGTTCCTTCAAGTCCTTCCTCAGTGAGATGTAAGTCAACCATCTCCTCGAAACTGAAACCAGAGGCCATGACTGCCTACAGAAACCTCCTAGTACCGATCAAAAGCCCAATAACAGGTGTGTATTGGACTGTTATACCAAGAGGAATGAGCGAGCAAGATACCGAAACCGTTGCGGAAATTGAGACAGTGATCCCAGGCAGGTCCTGAAACGGTCGTGCTGCAATCTCAGCGGTAATTGTCGCGCCAGCAGATAAAGGCGAAACTGCTACGGCAGACATAGCACAATCGACCAGCAATTCGCTACTCTCGAAGACAGGTAAGCCCCCGCAAGCAGATCGTCGTTTCGACAATACCGTTCGCGTAGGCGTACCTGCTTCGGCAGTACTGGGAGGATTAGCAACCTGCTAATCCGTAATTTAAATAGTCCCAGGACCGACTTTGATATGAGACTGTCTCGCTAATTTTCCATTATTCCCTAGTTTCCTCACCTTCAGACCGCCCCACTCCTATTCTAGTGCTAGGCGAGATACAGACCCCTCCTTCGTCGGAAACCAACACCAGAACGGACCAAACATAATTCCATCCTCTCCGTCCCTGCAGACCTCTTTGAGTTGTTTTTCCTATACGACTAGGCCCTAGTTTTAGCAGATAGTGAAGTTCCCCCATAAGTCCCCCTAACAACTTCCCACTACTCAAGCCCGTATAATTCACCAGTCCCTCAATTCATTCTCCCACAGCATTCCCCCTAATTACCTTTCGATTGGTAACCATTCTACTGGAAGCATAGCTATCTGCTCAAGTTCCATCAATCCTGGTTATTCAACTAATGAGCATGTGTGTGTGTGTGTGTGTGTGTGTGTGTGTGTGTGTGTGTGTGTGTGTGTG